TAGTCCAACCACTGGTAGAGGACACAATTCCAGTCTGAATACATATAGATATATAGGACAGTACAAAGGTCAAGGTCCTAGCAAGTGAGATGCTACAGGGACTAGCCCGAGCTATACACAGTGCCGCTGATGATCTTTGGGCGCAAGCGCCTTCGTAAAGATATCAGCTGTATTGGCACCAGAGGCCAGGTGTACTACACGAGCCTGGCGGCGCTGCTGCAGCTCGCGCTGGAGGAAGTACCGCAGCTGAATATGCTTTGCTCTGCCCTCGAGTCGAGGCTCCTGACACAGGAGGATCATGGCCCTGTTGTCAGCGTACAGGACCGGGGCAGAGCGGGTGACAGGGGAGACAGGACGAGCACGGGAGGGACGGTGAGACCAGACGTGAGACGCAGGAGTCAGGTCGGGAGACAGAGGAGGGGACACAAGGGGAGAGGGAGGGGGAAGACGAGCCGGAGACGAGTCCGGCGGAGGGAACACAGGGCCGTACATGGGGAGAGGAGGAGACAGGAGGAGAGGAACGGACGCAGGGTCAGGAGACGGAAGGCCGAGCAGGCGAAGGGCAGACACAGGCGGGGACTGCTGCTGCGGTGGCACAATGCCGACACCGGGACCGCAAGCTTCTCCGCGGCCACCACCGACAGACTCCAATCCAGCACCACCAGAAGGAACACCCCCAGGGCCCGAAACTCCTCGAGCACCGGCACCACCCCCAGGGCCACCGGGGCTAGAACCCACGCCAACGCCGGCACCCCCAGGGGCAACGAACGGCTGCTGCGACGGCGGCGGCTGTGAGAGTACGACCCCGTTACACCAATTTCCCCTTTCCATATTTCCTATTTATTTCATTCCTCTTTTTATCCTGATTCATTTGGTCTTTAACTCATCTCATTTGGTTTCCTATTCCTCCTTTTCCATTATCCTTTGGTTTATCCTGTTATTATAATTATATCACCGACTAGGCTCGGGATGTACTGGCGCGCTATATCTAGCGTAATCCTGTCGTAATCCCTTAAAGCCAATAGCCTCGCGTGGCTATACGCAGGGTGATTCTATTTCTAGAAGGGTCTATTCCCTTTGGATAGGATAAACCTGGTTACCTTATGTAATCTGGAAGTATAAAAGCCCCTTGTACTGATTGATAGTGCAACATTGAGCAACCTTTCCTCGGGACATTCGATCCTGTAACAGCGGCGGCTGCGGGGACGACGGCGGCGACGGCGGCTGCAGAGGCGGTGGAAGAGGAGACGCCGGGGGAGGGGCAGACGGCGAGGACTGCGCGGCAGGACCACCAGAGACAGAAGACTCCTCAACCGGGACAACCGACGGGAGAGGGGTGACGTGGGACATCACCAGAGGGGGCAGGACGGGGAGGGGGGGGGGGAGGGGCAGGGACCACTGAGGAAGGAGGGACCAGGAACAAGGGGGGGGTAACCGAGGGACCGCAGAAGGAAACGGACTCGTCAAAGGTGACGACAGAAGCGACCAAGGACACCGGAGGCAAACTCGCCACCATGGTCGGAGTGAAGGCGCAGCACGGGGAGACTGCGGTGGACACGCGCAGCGACAAGCCAGGGGATGAGAGCGCCAGGCACGTCGGCCTTGCGCTCCAGGGGAAAGACTGTGGTGTAGCGAGTGAAGTCGTCGACAAGCACGAGGAAGTAGAGTTCTCGACGCGGCCCATGGACGGGGGCGGGGCCCTAGACGTCCATGTGCAGGGTCTGCAGCAGCGCGGCGGTAGGGGGAACGAGGAGGAGTGGGGGGCACGACGAAGCCGACCCTCGACGCAAGGAGTGCAAGGCGGGGCGGGGGAGGAGGGAAAAGCGGGGAGAAAACCAGGGAGACCAAGGACGAGACCGTACTGGGACATGTAACGCAGACGCGGGAGTGCAGGGTGACCTAGGCGGTGGTGCCAAAGGAGAGTCGGGTGAGTGAGAGACCGACAGGAGCAGGCAGTAGCAACCTGGGAAGACGCAGCCACTTGGAGGGGCGCCCCAGCCGGGGGGGTCACGGTGTCCAGGGTGAACAGGCCGGACACCGGGTCCCGGGGGAACGTGGACAGAGGGGCACCTGTGGCAGCCTCGGTACAGACTGCATACCGCGCGTGACCAGGGAACGTAGTGGTGACGCCAAGGTCCTCGAGGCAGCCGTCCCCAACTAGGTTCCTGGAGAACGAGGGGATATGCAGACCTGTGAGAGAGCCCGAAGGAACTGCCGGACAGGGAAGGGTGGTGGAACTGCGGGCGACTACCGGACCACCGGAGGGGTCAGCAAGAGAAACAACAGCAGGAACAGGAAGCGGCGTTAGTATAGTGAAGTCGCGGAAGAAGCACCGGGAAGCGCCAGAGTACAAGGTGAAGGAAAGCGAAGCACTGGCGTCCGGTGACGGGGCGACGGCGGAGGCACCAAGGCTAAGCAAAGCAGGGGCTCCTATGCCTGACGCAGCAGGGGAGGCTAAGCTAGGCACACCTACACTAGACGACAATGAGTAATAAGCGGGAAGCACACTAGAGTCATCAGCATACATCACATGCAGAGTAGAAACAATGGCATCCATGTCCAAGTCAAAAATCGGAATACTACGACTAAGCAAACTGTGCCAGTCCGGGAGGTCTGGCGACGGGCCGAAGCGCTGACGAAACAGGTCGTCCAGGCGACGAAAGCAGTGAGGAGTGGTATGACCGGTCTTACCGCAAACAAAGCCGCGGCGAGGACCGGTCTGGATCTGGTACTGGCAACGCACACCTCCCGAACCACCACCCGGCACACCACGACGCGCACGACCACCTCCAGCTCCAGGCCACCTGGGCGGGAGGACACTCGTCTGCCTCGTCTGCGGCGGCTGCTGCGACGGCTGCGGCTGCGACTGCGGAGGCAACTGCTCAGCTGGACCGGGCAGGGTCCCCTCGTCCGCTCCACCACCAGACGACCCGACTCCACCACCAACCCCACCGGCACCCCCTCCTCCTCCGCCGCGCCCAGCCTTGGGGCGGAGGCCCTTCCCCGAACGGAACTGCATGGCAGCAGCAGTCTCAGCCACAGCGGCAGAACCGTCGGAGAAGGTACACTGAGCGGGGGCACAACCCTGAAAGATAGGGACAGGCACAACACCGCTCGCCTGGGCGATGGAGTGGTGGCGGGTCTCTATAACAGTCAGGGTGTCTACAAAGTCGGTGAGGGTGAGCTCACCGGGGTGGATGCTAAGGAAGCGGTCGCGGGCAGCGGCAAGGCGGTCAGGGAGGCGGGTGGCAAGCAGGTAGAGGGTGGAGGTAATGGGCGGCTGGGTGGCAAGCAACTGCGTCAGTGCAGGCAGCGCGCCAGGTCTCATCTATCGTGCGCAGGTGGGCAGCTAGGTCAGCGACAGTGGGGAACGACGCAAGGTCAGGAAAGAGCATCGGCAAGATCAGACGTCCCACCGAGGCAGCAGGAGGGGTGGAATAGCGCTTGATGACAGCATCTAGGTAAGCCTGGGCGGTAGTGATGGACCTAAAGCGATGGCGCTCAGACGGGGGAAGGGCATTGCTAATGGCAAGCTGAGCTACAGCGTCTCTGGAAAGCCAGACAGAGCGCGCAAGGGCAGCGGCTGCAGTAGACTCGCGCTCAGCGGGCGTGGGGTCAGCGGGCAGAACGGCAGGGGGGTCTGGGCAGGGGAGCATACCGTCAAGGTGTGCGGAAAGCGGGTGGCCATTCTGCTGCTGGCCGGTGAGGTGGCGACGGAGGTCGGCGAGCCACGCCTCGAGCTCCAGAGGCTGGCCTTCAGCGTCGAAGCGAAGCTCCGCCGCCATCAGGAGCAGTGCAGGACTGGACAGTGCGGTACAAGGCAGGGCCGTGCAAGGCAGTGCAGCGCAGTGCAGGGTGGTGCAAGGTGGTGCAGGGCGGTGCAGTGCAATACAGGGCAGTGCAGGGCGGTGCAGTGCTGTACCATGCTGTGCATGTGAGGGGGGGGGAACCGTACCAGGGAGGGTGCAGGGCCGGAGCAGGCACGACAAGCGGGCCGCACACAGCTCGGGGCAGGACGGCCGCGGGGCCGACGGGGCGGGCGCGGGGCCGGCTGGGACGGGCGCGGGGCCGGCTAGGACGGGCGCAGGGGCCGAGCGGACAGGGCGCGGGGGTCGGCTGGGACGGGCGCGGGGCCGCCTGGGACGGGCGCGGGCCGGCTGGGACGGGCGCAGGGGCCGAACGGGCAGGGCGCGCAGGTCGCGAGGGCGGCCGTGGGGCCGGCTGGGACGGGCGCAGGGGCCGACTAGGACGAGGGCACTAGGACGGGCACGAGGGGCCGCTAGGGCGGGGCGCTAGGCCGGCTAGGACGGGCGCTAGGGCGGGCACGGGCGTGGGGTCGAGAGGGCAGGCACGAGGGGCCGCTAGGGCGATCCCGGGGACGGGCACGGGGCCGGCCAGGGCCGAGGGGAGGTGGCGCGCAGGGCGCGACCAGGACGGGCGCGGCTAGGGCGGGCGCGACTAGGGCGGGCGCGACTAGGGAGGGTAGGTCCCAGAGCGAAAGCGTGGGTGAGCGGGACCTTCCTACTGTTGATACCATCTTAGAAACTGAATGAATTGACTAGAGAGAGAGAATACACGGAATATATCTAAGTGTTGTACCCTCTAAGAGATGACCCTATACAGTCTATGCAAAAAATATATGAGAAACACATGTTCGACAAATTCCCCCCCCCCTCTCGCCCCTACTGGGTTACCCAGTTTGTTCTGTGCATCGGCTGGTAGGTTTCGCCACTCGGCAGGTTCAAAACACTTTGAACCTTGTAATCATTATGTGGGCTCGCTTTAAGATTATGAATTCCATCAGATTGGAGTGCGGCTGATGTGCCTCGGTGGTGTCTATGACATATGGAAGGCGTATTTAGTGGTGAATTGACGAAATCGAACATGTATCTTCCAGGGTTTATGGAGGTGTATACGAGACAGTTATTGGAGCTATTTGTCGGGAAACAACCTAGGAATCTGGAAACCATTACTGCCTGGAGTTCAGGAACGAAAATCTACGTGCAGATAACGGCGGTCTGCCTGACAGATTAGTAGCCAAGCTGACGGCAATATCACTTCAGCAGCACACAATGGGCGTTTACTGTCTCTTGTTCTCATTCGGTCACTCTTTCACTAGTAGTTAATCTCATTTGGTAGTTGACCTTCAGCTTACAATTAGTACTGAATGGCTGAGACCGCCATTTCTCAAAGCGGACAAGCTACCCTGTGTCCTAGATTCAAGTTTTGCCGGTTTGGCTAGACCAAGCTGTAAGTGCTTTGTAAGTATTTTTTTTCAGTGTGAAGCTCGTGGCTGCGAAGCTCATGGTTGCTAGGATCCGAATTCGTCCTGGCATTTGCCTTGCAGAGGGGTGTGCTGTGAAGCCCTACCAGGTGATTGGTTGAGGTATAGTGACCACCTGCGCTAGTTCAGTAAACTTTCTACCCGTGAGTCCACTGGATCCTCGTTGTAAGCGCTCGCAGATGACATGTCTCGAAGCTGTACAGCGCTGACGAGGATTTCTCAATCGCATTGCCGGAATTGCAGATTTTACAGACTATCCGGACCATTGTACTTAGTACTCGCCCTCGCATTCCTACTCGCCCGCTGTAACGCCACTTCGATACAAGCTGGCGACGATCCGACATTTGACTCCCCTTCATCCAGTGGTTACAGTAACCTTAATCGTCAATCCCGCCATCTAACGACCCTTTCGACTCTAGCACAAAGTGAACATACGGAAAGCGGCACTAACGGAGGAGTATTAAACGGTGGGTTTTCCGAAAAGGACCACAAGATTCAATTCGGGGGAGTTGCAGGGACAGGCGGAATCGGAAGGGGGGAAAGCGGCGGAAGCGGGGGAAGTGGGGGGAGTGGCGGAAGCCAGGACATTAGCCACAGGCGGGGGCTATGGCAGCGGTTCATTGGCGGGGACGAGGCGGAGAGGCAGAGAGGGGAGAAAGAGCACAGGGGCCGAGACAAGGGGACGGATTGGGCGGAGAGGGAGAATGTGGGGATGCTTCTGGAGCGGAGGGAGGAACGGCGGGAGAAGATCGTGAGGGAATTTGTGCCGTTAGATAGGCTGGATCGCGAGGAGGGGCCGAGGGGGTTTGCGAATGGGCGGACGAGGAGAGGAGATGGGGGGGGAGGCGGAGTGGGGGATAGCGGTGCTGGCAGCAGTGGGAGTAGCAGCAGCAGTGGCGGTGGCGGTGGCAGTGGCAGTAGCAGTAGCAACAGCGGCGCTAGCAGGGGTAGCAGCAGTACCAGTGGTGGCGCTGGTGCTGGTGCAGCGGGTGCATCAGCCGCAGCAGGAGAGCGTTCCCGCGGTGATAAGGATGGCCAGGTGTCCTCGCGAGGAGGCGAAGGGGGAGAGCAGCAGGGGAGCAACGGGAAGAGCAAGAGAGAGGCAGCGCAGACACAGCTAGACGAGGACGATATCCCTCTGCTGATGCCGTTCAAAGGAATATTCAAGAGCAAGGACCTAGACGAGGAGATCAAAGAGGAGGAGGAGGAGGAGAGGAAGAAGGCGGTGGGGAAGAAGGAGGGGGGAGAGAGGGGGTCTGAGAGGAAGCGGCAGGTGGGGAGGCGGGAGTTTAGAAGCGACGACTGGAGCCACTTGGGGGAACACAAGATGGGGTTGTCGGCTGGTGAAGGCGCTGCTGCTGCTGCTGCTAACACAGCTGGTGGTGGTGCTGCCGCTGGTGCTGGTGGTGAGGGCAGCGTCGGGGGTGGTGCTGCTGACAGAGACAGTGGTAGTGCTAGTAACCAAGCCAGCCATTCCGCGTCAACTGCCTCTGATGGCGCTTCACAGGCCACCCAAGGGACCACGGCTGCCACTGGGGAGGGGGAGCACGGGGCTGCTAAGCCAAGCGTGACTAAAACGAACGAGACAGCAGCGGGCGGCGAAAAGGGTGGCGATGTCGGGGAGCTGGTGGAGCGAATCCTCGACAGGCTGGACGATATGGAGGACGAGGGAGGCAAGTTCAACAAAACCCTCGAAAAGCAGGAGGCAGTGCTAGAGACAGTAGCCCGGGTGGGGAAGCACCACGTGCTCGAGGAAGTGAAGGAGAGGGAGGAGCGGGAGGAGCAGGAGGACCGGCAGGTATTGGAGGAGGCAGAGAGGGAGGAGGCAGAGGAGAAAATGAAGCAGCTGGAAGAGGTGGCGCTGGCTATGGCTGCTGCTGAGGCTGAGAAGAAGCAGAAGAAGAAGGGAGTGGCGGCGGTAGCGGCGGTGGTGAGCCAGGGCGTGAAGGCGAGTGAGGTATCGCTGTTTGACTTGGTGTTCGGGCGGGAGAGCGGGAAACAGCTTCCCCCAGTTGCGCCTGCCCCTCGGCCCCGTGTGAAGAATCTCACCCGGTTGGCAGCAGCCAAGAAGCGGTTTGCTGAGAGGGCTGGGAGGGGGGCGAGGGAGAAGGAGAGGGTGGACGATGGGGAGAACGACGTTCCTAGACTGATAGACTCGCAGGACAATGAGTACGTTATAAGCAGCCCCGGTAAGGGGTCGAAGATGCAGCTGCAGGAGGACTTCATGCTTATATCGGATGTGGTGAAGGTGATTGTGGCGGCTGCGCTGGGAGGGCTGGCGTGCGGGCTCATGGGGCAGCCGATCATCCTGGGGTACATTGTTGCTGGGATGATCATCGGACCTGGGGGATTCGGCCTCATTCACGAGCTTGTGCAGGTGAGGCGGAATTCTCAGGGAGGGGAGAAGGAGAAAGAGGCGGAATTCTCAAGGGGGAAGGGGGGGGGGTTAACTGGTGAAGGTGGTTGTGGCAGCTGGACTGGGAGGACCGGCGTGTGGACTGATGGGGCAGCAGAGCATACTGGGGTACATTGTGATTGTAGCAGGGATGATTATCAGACCTGCGGGGGTCGGCCTCATCCAGGAGCTTTTGCAGGTGAGAGGGGGGGCAGGAGAGGTGGGGTGGATAGACTTGAGTGGTGGATTGAGGGGCTGGCGTCGGATTGATGGGGGATTGAGTGGCGGATGGCTGCGGCAGCCCATCATACCGGGGTACATCGTGGGAGGGATGATTATTGGACCCAGGGGATTCGGCCTCATTCACGAGCTCATGCAGGTGAGATGTGGTGTGAGGCGCATCATGCGCAGGGAGGGCTGGCGTGCGGGCTCATGGGGCAGCCCGTCAAACTGGCATACAGTGAACTAACCAGGGATGATCGTTGGACCCAGGGGATTCGGCCTCATCCACAAGCTTGCGCAGGTGATGCAGGGTTCTCAGGCGAGAGAGAGGGAGGAGGGGGGGGGGAGGGGGGGGGCAAGAGAGTGGGGGATGAGGGGGGGGGGAGGGGGGATCCTGGTGAAGGTGGTTCTGACGGCTCTGCTGGGAGGGCCGGCGTCTGGGCTGATGGGGCAGCCGAGCGTGGCGGAACATGATGCAAACTGGTTGCATCTTGAGCACCATCTGTTCCGCCACGCTCGGCTGCCCCATGTTCCACCATCTCCTCCACACCATCATGCGTTCACCGCCACCTCCTCCATTTCGCATCCCCATTCCCCCCTCTCTTGTCCCTCTCAGGTGGAAACCCTAGCGCAGTGCGGAGTGGTCTTTCTTCTCTTCGCCATCGAGGTGAAATTGAGCCTGGTGCGCATGCAAGGCATGCATGCAGTGGCGCTGGCGGGGGACATCATCTTAAGCAGCAACACGAGTTCACCCCCGCCTCCTCCCTTTCTTACCCCCTTCCTCCCTTTCTTACGCCTCTCCCTCTTTCACTTGTCCCTCTCAGGTGGAGACCCTAGCGCAGTTCGGAGTGGTCTTTCTTCTCTTCGCCATCGGGGTCGAGTTCAGCCTGGCTAAGATGCAGGGCGTGCAGGCTGTAGCGCTAGCGGGCGGCATCATCCAGATCGGGCTGTCCATGGTGCTGGGGGGCATCTTCAGCAGCAGCACGCCCCAGGGGCTCTTCATAGGCGGCTTCCTCTCCATGTCGTCCACTGCAGTGGTTTTGAAGTGCCTCATGGATATCAACAGCATGGGCACGGAGCATGGGCAGGTGAGGTTGGCGTGGGCAGGTACGGCAATTGGGTATCACGTGTGAGGCGCCTTAGAAGATGCCCCAGGGGCTGTTCTTAGGGCGATTCCTCTCAATGTCATCTATGGCTGTGGTGCTCAAGTGCCTCATGGACGTCAATAGCATGGGCACGGAGCATGGGCAGGTGAGGTAGCACCGGCTGGGATCACCGTTGAGGTGCCTCAAAGCATTCCCCATGGGCTGCTTTTATCGGGGTTCCTTTCTATGTCATCAACAGCATGGGCATGGAGCATGAGCAGGGAAGACGGGTGTGGGCAGGTTGCTGATTCGTTTGCCACTCTTGAGGTGCCTGAAAGCACGCCCCAGGGGCTTTTTATTGAAGGCTGAGGCTTCGTCTGCATGTCATCCAAGGCTGAGGTGCATCATGGACGTCAACAGCATGGGCACAGAGCATGGGCAGGTGATGTAGCGCGGGGAGGTATGGCTAGCATGGGCGGATGTAGCACGGGGAAGTATGGCTGGCATGGGCGGATGTGGCAGCATCGGCATGTGGTGGGCATCCCAAATGCCACTTACTCTCCACTCATGCCTCTTCCTCCCTGCTTCTCTCCTCCGCCACGCCGCCTTTCCTTTCCCTCTTCGGCGTCCACATCCTCCCCCCCTCTCCCTTCTGGTTTCCCATTGGTTTGCCCATCATCCCCCCCACCGCCAACAGCACCCCCTCCCTCTTCCCCTTCAAATCATGCTCGGCGCCCTTACATCTCAGAACTGTGCCGTGGGTCTCCTCCTCGCAATAATGCCGGCCCTCGCCGCCCGCCCCGCGTCCGCCTCAGCCATCCTCCTCGCCCTCGTCAGAGAGCTCCTCATTCTGCTCGCCTTTGCCCTCATCGCCTGGCTCCTCGCCCGCTTCTTCGCCCTGCGCACCTCCCCTCTTAAAAACGATCCGCCCTATCCCTCCCCTCCCTCCCCTCCACTCCTTTCCAACAGATCATGCTGGGTACCCTCATTTCCCAAGACTGTGCCTTGGGCCTGCTATTGGCAATAATGCCGGCCCTCGCAGCCCGCCCCGCGTCCGCCTCAGCCATCCTCCTCGCCCTGGTCAGAGAGCTCCTCATTCTGCTCGCCTTTGCCCTCATCGCCTGGCTCCTCGCCCGCTTCTTCGTGCCGCGCTTCCTGCCGCTGCTGCTGCGCCTGGCGCGCGGGTCCTTCAACAGCGAGATCTACCACCTGGGGGTCGTGGCCATCTGCCTCTGCATCGCGCTGCTTTCTGAAGGGCTTGGGCTGTCACTTGAAGTGGGAGCCTTTGTGGCTGGCCTCATGCTCTCAGGTGAGTTGTCCCTGTCTCCCTCCTAGCCTGCCTCCTCAGATGCTTCCTGCCGCTGCTGCTGCGCCTGGCTCGCGTGGGTCATTTAACAGCGAGATCTACCACCTGGGGGTCGTGGCTATCTGCCTCTGCATCGCTCTACTTTCCGAAGGGCTTGGGTTGTCCCTCGAAGTGGGGGCCTTTGTGGCCGGCCTCATGCTCTCAGGTGAGACTTCATCCTCCTGGCCTCGCTCCTCACATGCCCATGCTGCTGCTGCTGCTGCTGCTGCTGCTGATGATGATCCTGCTGCTTTTCTTTTGAGCCCTCTCGTTTCAACTCCCTCCCCTCCGCCTCCTTCCACCCCAAACCACCCTCCAGGCAACAGCTACAGTGAGCGAACGCTCCTTCAGGTCAAGCCCATCCGCGACCTGCCCTCACTTCAAGTCCCCACCCCCCTCCCCCTTCCCCTCTTCCCCCTAACTACCCCCCCCCAGGCAACAGCTACAGCGAGCGCACACTGCATCAGGTGGAGCCCATCCGCAACCTGTTTGCTGCGCTCTTCCTGGCGTCCATAGGCATGGTCATGCACCCGCTCTTCCTTTGGCAGCACATCGACATCCTTCTGATCGCTGTGGCTGTCGTGTTTGTAGCCAAGGCCTGCCTCGTTGGCTTCGTGGTGAGTGTTGGCTTGGTGGAAAGTGAGTGTGTGTCTGTCTGTCACCCTCTCTCTCCCTCTCTTCCTGGCGTGCATAGGCATGGTCATGCACCCACTCTTCCTCTGGCAGCACATCGACATCCTCCTTATAGCCGTCGCTGCTGTGTTTGTAGCCAAAGCCTGCCTGGCTGGTTCGTGGTGAGTGTTTGCTCTGGGGTAAGCGGGTGTGTGTGTCTCCCACCCTCCCCGCTCGCACTATCGCTCTCCCTGGCGTCCATAGGCATGGTCATGCACCCAATCTTCCTTTGGCAGCACATCGACTTCTACTTATTGCTGTCGCCGTGGTGTTTGTAGCCAAGTCCTGCCTCGTTGGATCTGTGGTGAGTGTTGGATTTGTGGTAGGTTGCGTGAGGAGCCTTTTCTTGCCTGCTCCCTCTTGCTCTTCCTCTGGCAGCGCATCGACGTCCTCCTGATTGCCTTGCCGTTATGTTTGTAGCCAAAGCCTGCCTAGTTGGCTTCGTGGTATGTGGGTTTGTTGTGGGTGTGTGCTTATGTGCATTGATCTTCGTGCTGAGTGGTATGAGACAGCCGGTCACAGGCTATGTCACTGCTTGTTGTCATTCAAATGCAAGCCCAATACCACCAACACTTTCCTTTCCCCCTCCCTCACTCCCTCTTGTTCCCCACTCGCTCTTTCTCTCCCTCCTCTCTCCCGGGACCAATCAGGAGCAGGAATTCGGCTACAGCACAGGTGCAGCAGCATCAGTGGGGGTTGCTTTGGCCCAAATCGGCGAGTTCTCCTTTGTGCTTCGCTCCCGTGTACAAACCCTGAAGCTCGTCGGCCACAAGCTCTTCCTGCTCCTAATGGGTACCACTGCTTGGTACACAGTAAGGGAGAGGTGCCCCTCCCGTCCCCCCCCCTTCCTCCTTTTTCTCACTGGCTTTCTCTCTCCCTTCTGACTCCCTTGGTCCAATCAGGTCCGGGCATTCGGCTACAGCACCGGCACAGCAGCATCAGTGGGGGTCGCCTTGGCCCAAATCGGGGAGTTCTCCTTTGTGCTTCTCTCTCGCGCGCAAACCCTAAAGCTCGTCGGCCACAAGCTGTACCTCCTCCTTATGGGAACCACCGCCCTCTCCCTTGTCCTCACTCCCTTCACTTTCCTCCTCGTCCCCCGCCTTGCCCTCCTCTTCCCCTCCACTCGCTCCCGACCCCGAGCCAAGGCCTCCCCCGCCCCTGCTACAGTGCAGGAGAAGATCAAATCGGGGTACGGAATCAAATCAGCAGCAGCCAATGGGGTGGTTGGGGAGGATGGGGCAGGGGGTGGTGGTGGTGGGTCGATGGGTGGTTTGTCTGGTAGTGAGGGAGGTGGTTCTGGTGGGGGCATGGGTGCTGGTAACCCTGGTGGGGGAAGTGGTGATGGTTACCACCACCATGCGAGTCCTTTGACCGGAATTTCCCCTAGAGACACAGCATCAGGAGGTTCTTCAGGTGATTCCTCAGCTGTGGTTTCAGGGGGCGTTTTGTCTTATCTGCTGCGACAGGTGCAGCCACGCACTCGCACCTCTGCTAAAGCTACAATAGCCGCAGGTGGTGGTGGTGGTGGTGCTGCTGCTGCTGCTGCTGCTGGGGCTTCTAGTAGTGATGGTGGGATCTCAGGGTCACAGTCTGGGTTCAGTCGAACACTAAGTGCTGGTGGCGGGAGCAGCGCTCTAACTGCTACCAGCAGTGCAAACAGTGCTGTTACGGTTACCACCGCAAGCATAGGCCGCAGCAGCAGCAGCCGTACAGAAAGAGACCACAGGGACAGAGACCGGGACAGGGGCAGAGACACAGCCGCGGCGGCAGTAGTGGCAGCAGCAGCAGTTACAGAGGCTCTAAACCGAGCAGGAGGAGCAACATCCACGGGCACCTTCTTAGAAGCAACCTCCTCTTATCCTCACACTCTCCCCTCCCCAACTGCCATATCGCCTGGTATAAGCCCACCCAGTATAAACACACCCGGCATAGGCATACCCACTCCACGACCCTGGGGTTCCCCTAGAAACGCAGCAGCAGCAGCAGCGGACGCCACCCACACCCAGAGACTCCTGGGAAAAACAGGGTCAGGAAAAGGCCTTGTTCGGAGCCCCAGAGTTGCAGGGCAGAGCCCGAAGTTGACATCGCAGCAAGGGGGAATGGGGCATGTGACGAGTCCGACCCGGGGCTTGAGAGAGGGTGCGAGGGGGGCGGGGTCTGGGATGGCGAGTGGAGGGGTGGGGGGGATGGGGGGATCTGGGGGAGTGAGGTCGCAGCAGGTGGAGCAGCAGGGGGGTCAGCTGGGTGCAGGGATGGGGGATGGTGGTCAGGGATCGGGCTATCACTTCTCCACAGCTTCGTTTTTCTCCCGGTGGAATCAGAAATCCCCCAGGGAGCATGGGAATGGGAACCAACAGTGGTGAACGAAATTCCAGTTGCAATGTTTAACCAGGGATGTAGTTTCTCAGGTAGTGGTAATTTGTCAGAATTTCACTCTGCAATGCACACATTGAGCTGGTCCCTCTGAAACGAGTTAATGGTTACCAACATGAGTACAGTGAAATGTTTATTAATTGTAGAGAATTTGCTGTACACAAAAGACAGCATGAACACACACAAGGTTTCAACCTAACTGGTGATGAGAATGATCCACAAAGCAAACAAACGATGCTCCTGCTGCAGCTCTGGTCCTTCAACCACCCCTTCACGCCCACTCCCTCCCCCTCCCTAACCACAGTCCCTGGTATTGACATGAGGTCACAGACAAAATACTATAAAAGAAAGGTGCTATTGAACTAGAAAAAGCAGGCTCATGCCCCTGGTGCAGCCACCACTGCCATCCTCTCCCTCACCACAAGCCGTAGTGGCTTAGCCATAGCCATGGTCAGCCCATAAGTTTCCCCCATGTCCACTCCTCCAGCTGCCCGCACATCTGCGGGCAGCTCGAAATCAAACCGCAGAACAAAATTCGCCAGCAGGCGTGCCAAAAGGTCTAGTCCCAGGCTGGTTCCAAGGCACCCGCGCCTGCCCGACCCAAAGGGCAGCAGGCTGAAATTTTGCCCAGTCACGTCAGGGGCAGCAGGGTCAAAGAATCTGGTCGGGTCGAATTCGTGCGAGTTGATCCAGACCGTTGGATCGTGTGCAAGAGCCCAGGCATTGACCTGGACCATGGTGTTGGGAGGGATGGTGTAACCGCCCAGTGCCACGCTACCAGTCGTCAGATGGGGAATGAGGAACGGGGCAACTGGGTGGTGCCTAAGCGTTTCTTTTAAAACCGCCTGGAGAAACGGCATTTCCAGTACTGGGAGCGAAACCATGACGTCAGCACCTGCTGCCCCAGTCTCAGCGGCTGCACTTGCTGACTTGGCATAGGCCGCATCCACCTCAGCCCGGAGCCTTTCCAGCGTGTCCGGGCGCTGCACCAGCTCAGCAAGCGCCCATTCCACGGTCTTGGAGGTGGTGTCGGTACCAGCCATCATCATATCAACGGCCAGCATCATCATCTCATCCTTCCCCATCTGATCCTCCCCCTCTCCTTCAATCTCGAACAAAGTGTCAACAAGAGCGGCTTCCTGCTCCTCCCGCCCCTCCCGCTCCGCCTGCTCCTCCTGCTCCCCCCGCTCCCCGATTTCGGTCCGCGGTTCCTCCGCGCGCCTCTTCAGCAGCAGCTGCCGCCTCTCCTCGATGCACGCGCGCATGAACCCGTGCAGCTGCGGCGCGAGGCGCTGTGTGCGCGCGTACATGCGCTGCGGGTCCCAGCGGCTCAGCCACGGCACGTAATCCGCGAGGTTGAACGCGCCCGCGAGGGCGAACCCTTCCTCGATAATCGCAAACACCACCTCGCCTTCCGCCTCCTCTTTTAACGAGGATAACTCGAACTCTTCTTCCACAGCCGCCGAAGTGGCGGAAGCCGCCGCAGCCTGAGGCCCCGTTGCTGGAGCTGCGGCGCCGGCGTCAGCGCCGGGAATCTCACCGCGTTTGTCGCCGCCCATTGCGGCGATGCGTGCGTTCCAGTCGATCTGCATCGCGGCGTCGAGGATCGCCTTGGGCGTGGTGCCGGCCGCGCCGTGGATCGAGGCGTAGCTGAAGTGCTTTCCGACAGTCAGGCGCAGAATGTTGTTGAGCGTGGCGCGATTTAAGTACCTCCGCATCTCTATCCCCCCTTCGGCGGTAGATTTCGCGCCGTCTGCAGCGTTTTTCGCACCCGCTTCACTAGTCGCATTTTCAACGGTGAAGCCGGTGTCAGCAGCGATCGCGTCGAGCATGTCGCGAATCTCGCCCTCTCGCACGGGGAGGCTCTCCTGCAGCTTCTTCGCACACAGCAGGTGGAGGGTCGCCAACCGTCGCATCTTTCGCAAATGGTCGTTCGCCGGAGAGAATGCGATGTTTTTGCCGTCGAGAGTGAGAATCGCCACGGTGCGAGGCAGAGGGCGCGACGAGCAGAGCTTATCCTTCGTTTTAAGCACCTCGCGAGCGAGCTCCGGCGACGAAATTATCACGGAAGGCGTGGAACCGAACCAGACGGTCAGGATCGGGCCGTACCTGTCGGAGAGCTTCGCGAGGGAGCGGAACGGCAGCGCGCCCAGGTCCGGAAGGTTGCCGAGGATGGGCCATGGGGAAGGGCCGGGGGGGAGGGAGCGACGGCGGCGGAGGAAGGAGAGCCAGGAGGTGGAAATGATAACAGCAAGGGCTGCGATAAGAGCCGTTATAACGAAATGCGAATCAGCTACTAGGAGGCTTGAAGCGTCGACGAGGGCGGGCGCGCGGAGGAGGCTTGAAGCGGTCCAGCCGGGGGAAAGCTGCTGGCTCGTGGTGTTAAATCCGCTGGCGAGCCATCCCGACCTGGGAAGGGCATCAGTGACGGCCATTGAGATGGAGCCCCACGGATCTCAGGCTAGAGCGCAGGCGCTGAGAGCAGAAGAACGAGAGAAGGCGCGGCAGAACTAGCACTCCGTGTCCCAGAAAAAATCAGCTGACGGCTGAAATTGCAAGCTTTTGAATAATTGGGGAGAGAGTCCGAGTCCGGACGATGGGGACATCAATTGTGGCAGGCGTGCAATTTATGCATTTGTCTGAAGCTTTTGCAATTGCATTGCGCGCCGCGTCTTGATTTTCGACCAAGATTAAAAATTGGGGGCAGCGAACTGGAACTCCAGGGAAGAAACGATGAGGTGACCGGTTTCGCACGCAACGGAGGTTTATTTCGCACGAATTGGTTGCGTGGTGGACAGGCCAAACAAGCCTGGCTAGGCGACAAAACGGAAATTATCGCTACTCAGGGACCAAGTGAGCGACAGCTTCCGTGGAAGCTCTCGAGTTGCGAGGTCACCCGTGTCCATTTTCGCCGACACCGAACTTGCCAGTTTCCCCATTCTTGGAGATATCCTACATTGATCCTCATCGTCATTTGTGATACATAGGACCAAGCTTGGACACCTCTACTAGCATACAAACAAGTTGATAACATTTGCCACAAGAGCATAGCACAAATAAAATAATACAACATATATGCCTATACTATCAGCTCTCGTGCATCACAAATCCACCCCTCAGCTGCTAACCTCACATGTGTTAGCATAGCCTGCACGTGCTGAACCATTGCCAATGCACCACCCTGAACATTGCAATATGTGGTCACCTCTCTTTCAATACAACCCGCAGCGGCTTAGCCAATGCCATAGTGAGACTAAACTCCTCCCCCATGTCTACTCCACCGGTAGTGCCAATCACATCTTCAGGCAGCTTCAGATCAAACCGCCGAATAAAGTTCGCTAGCATACGGACAGATAAATCCAGACCCATATTCATTCCCACACATCCACGCCTGCCCGAACCGAAGGGCAGCACGCCATAATCCTGACCGATCACATCAGGAGCAGATGGGCCGAGAAATCTGTTGGGATCAAATTTGTGGGGGTTGATCCAGACCGCTGGATCGAGCAAGACCCAAGCCGTTGATCTGAATGATTGTATTTGGGGGAATGGCGTAACTGCCGATTGTAACACTTGCAGTTGTCATGTGGGGGATGAGGAGCGTCTTAGAAACTTAGGACACGAGCCTCTTAAACTTAGGAGGCTAGGTAGGCTAGGATACTAGAAGTGACGCCATGGAATATCGTGAGGAGAAGTTTATCTAGGGGTAGGCAAAAGTGACGAGAAAGAAGGATGCGAATAGGAAGAGAGGGGAGTACAAGGAGGGGTTTGTACCCCCTACAGAAAGGTTCAGTAACAACCTACCAAGCCTATATTAAATTATAACTTATATAATTTTAACACACCCCCTAGGCTTGGTAGTCGCACACCCACCCAACCCACCCCCTAACCCCGCACACCCTCAAGCTCGTGCTTAGCCGGGTATCTGACCCTCGTGCAAAGCGTTGACACACCCCCGTACACGAGGCAGCCTACGGCGTCTGGGCGGGTCAGCGACAAGCAGCGGCGGAGCTCTGGCTCAAGGCGGCTGGGTCGCCGACAACAGGCGGCGACCGCCGCGGCTGAGGGCTCTCGGTGATGTGGCAACGTCCGGGCAGAAGACAGCAGCTGCGACAGGAGGAGGGGAAGACGCAGGGGGAAGGGAGAATGGGGGGGGGGGGGGGGGGGGGGGGCGGGGCGAGTCTTCAGCGACGCGCCATAAATGGCGCGGCGCTTACTGGCGGGAGGACGTCGTCCTGAGGGACGCCCGTGGCTGGCGAGCGGGCGGCAGGCCCGGCGACGCCACAGATGTCGCTCGGCCGGCCGCAGCCCGACGATGCCGTCGGCTGCCGTAGACGCCGCCGCAGCGCACTGTCAATGTCGCAGCGGTGAGGCGGACGGGCGACGGCTGCACCAAGGGGCCGTCGCGACACCTTGGCGCCGCGACGGCAGGCAACGAGGGGCCGTCGCGACACCTTGGTGCCGCGACGGCGGGCAACCAGGGGCCGTCGCGACACCTTGGTGCCGCGACGGCAGGTAACAAGGGGCCGACGCGACATCCTGGCGTCGCGACGGCAGGCAGGCAGAAAACCGCGAAGGCTGCGAATGCAGCAGGAGTACGCAACGGGTACGTAGGGAGAGGGTCCGGTGGACACGACCGGCTCTGATACCATCTTAGAAACTTAGGACACGAGCCTCTTAAACTTAGGAGGCTAGGTAGGCTAGGATACTAGAAGTGACGCCATGGAATATCGTGAGGAGAAGTTTATCTAGGGGTAGGCAAAAGTGACGAGAAAGAAGGATGCGAATAGGAAGAGAGGGGAGTACAAGGAGGGGTTTGTACCCCCTACAGAAAGGTTCAGTAACAACCTACCAAGCCTATATTAAATTATAACTTATATAATTTTAACAGAGCGGTACTGGTGGGTGGTGCCTCAGAGTTTCCTTGATCACAGCCTGCAGGTATGGCATGTCTTGTACAGGGAGAGATGTCAATTCAACTCCCTGTTTTCCAGAAGGTTCACCTGCTGCTGTTGCTGATGCTGCTGCTACTGCCTCTGCTTCTGTGAATGCTCCCGATGGTGCTGACTCAGCAGCTGACTTGGCGTACTCCGCATCCACCTCAGCTTGGAACGTTCCAGCATGTCGGGGTAACTTGCCAGCTCAGCAAGGACCCATTCAACGGTTTTTGCAGTGGTGTCAGTGCCAGCAAACACTAGATCCAAAACAAGCAGCATAATGTCCATTCTGGTTACCCTATCCTCTCTGTTTACCCTGACTCTTTTGGTTACCCTATCATCCTCTTCAACTTCCATTTCCAGCAGTGCATCCACCAACACTCTTTCCCCCACAGCCTTCTCTCCCCCCAACTTCTCAACACCCTCCTCCCCTTTCCCCACGTCCCCTACTTCCTTACCCTTTCCCCTATTCCCGTCCTCCTCGCACTCCACCGCCTTTCCCTGCTGCGCTTCCTCTTCCCCCTCCTCCTCCGCCTCTCCCCCCTTACCCTTCCGCCGGTTGAGCATCCGCCTTCTCTCCTCAATGCACGCCAGCGCAAACCCTTCCGAGTACGGTTTGAGCCGCTTCGCACCAGCGCAGATGCGCTGCGGGTCCAAGTGGCTGAGCCACGGAATAAAATCCGTCAAGTTCAACGTCCCCATCACCTTGAACGTTTCGTCAACCATCGCGATCACCTTCTCGCCTTCCATTTCATCCTCCGCCGCCGCAGATCGCGGCGAGGAGTCCACGGACTCACCGGATTTGGCAGCGCTAATAGCGGCGATCCGTCCTTGCCAGTCGGTCTTAATCGCGGCTTCGAGCATCTCCCCTCGCGCGGTGGTGGCGGCGCGATGAATGGTGCTGTACTGTAGCTATAATGCTTCCCGACCGTCAGACACAGGATATTATTGAGCTTGGCGCGGTTCAGGTACTCTTGCACTTCCACGCCTCTCGCGTCCGCGTTATCGGCATCCTCCGCTATCGCATCGAGCATGCTGCGGATCTCCTGTTCGCGCACTTGTAGACTCTCCTGTAAGGCACGTGCCGAAAGAATATGCAACATCGCCAGCCGTCGATGCATTCGCAAATGTTCGTTCCGCGGTGAAAATACTATGTCCCTTCCGCCATGCGTGGCTAATGCGAGAAGGCGTAGAAGCGGGCGTTAAGAGCAGAATTTCTCCTACCTTTCAACACATCCCGAGCCACGTCCGGAGAAGAAATGATTACCGATCGAATGGACCCGATATCAGAAAGAATAATGACTAGAGTGGGGAGATACAAAGCAATATAGTCTAGAGAGTTGTACCAGTCAAAGGAATACAGACAAGGCAAGTCCAAGACCAGGGCGGCACTACTAGTCCAGCCACTCGGAGAGGCCACAAGGTCAGTCAGGGTAAAAAAAAATATATAAAGGACATTACAAGGTCAAGGCCCTAGCAAGTCAGAGGCTACAGGAACGAGACCTAGATGTACACAGTGCCGCTGATGATCTTTAGGCGCAAGCGCCTTAGTACAGATATCAGCTGTGTTGGCACCGGAGGCCAAGTATACTACGCGCGCCTGGCGGCGCTGCTGGAGCTCGCGCAGGAAGAAGTATCGCAGCTGGATGTGCTTCGCTCTGCCCTCGAGTCGAGGCTCCTGACACAGGAGGATCATGGCCCTGTTGTCAGTGTACAGGACCGGGCCAGAGCTAGGCCACTCACCTAAGTCAGTGAGCAAGAAGGTCAGCCAGCGGAGCTCCTGTGCCGCCATGGCACCGGCGTAGATCTCGGCCTCACAGCTGGACTGGGCAACAGACGAGGAGCGGGTAGCTCTCCACGAGACGGCACCTGAACCAAGGCTGAAGCAGTAACCCTGTGAGGACCTGAGGGTCTTGGCGTCGTCTGCCCAAGAAGCGTCTGTGTGCCCAGTAAGGACCACGGGCCTACGTCCTCCTAGCACTAACCCATGCCCGATGTACTTGCAAGATAACGCAAAACCCTCTTAGCGGCAGACCAGTGCTGCGGTCGGTGTCTACCTGTGGCCACAAAGCGAGCCAGGATGCTGAGAGGGTATGCGAGATCTGGGCGAGTGCAAGTCATCAGATACATGAGGCAACCCACCAGCTCTGCGTAAGCACCACTGGGCTTTGCTGACTCCTCAGGAACTGGAGCCGAGAGCCTGTGGTCTAGAGGCAGAGGAGTGGGCTGTGCGGAGGAGAACTGAAGGCCGAACCTCTGAAGGACCTGGCGCACCAAGTGTGACTGAGTCAAAGTGATGGTGCACGCTGCTCTGTCCGTGGAGATCTGCAAGCCAAGGTAGTGGCGCATTTCTCCAAGGTCAATGCAGGTGTGTCTCTTCAGCGACTCTGCCTTCACAGAGGCCATTGCGTCCCTGTCTGCTGTGGCGAAGACCACGTTGTCTACATAAACAAGGATGTAGAACGGGGTCTGGCCAGCACGAACGAAGAGCGAGGGGTCTGCAGAGGACGGAAAGAAATGCAGGTCAGCAAGCGTAGCACGCAGCGTGTCGTGCCACTCACGGGGAGCCTGCCGCAGGCCGTAAACAGGGCGCCGCAGGAGCCACAGGGTCCCAGGACGGAAGGTACCAGTGACGCTGTGAGGGCGGCGCAGGTAGA